AAGTGAGATTCAATCTAATAAGGCTTGGGAGATCTAACGAGTTAATTTAATTGATAAAATAATGATAAATGATCAAATTTTCCTTCTAGCGAGTCGATGTAGAAGAGACAAAGGAGAATCACGCGCTTGGCTTATCTTTGGGGGAGAGGTAATCACCCCGAAAGAATTCGTAACATAAACTAACGGTTCTGAAGTCCCCTTTCGAAACTCAAATTTAAAATGAAAAAGAATCTCTCAAGATTTCAGAATCGCATCCCATGTTCAACTGTAATATATATATATATATATATTTTTCATAAAGATTATAACTATAAAAGTATGAATATAAAATATTTCAGTGAGCAGAATGACATATGTTTAGGAATTATTAAGTTAGGTCATTTGTTTTATGTTAATATAGCATAATTATTGTATAACAAAACAAAAATTACATTATCAAAATAATATTATCCTCACTGGAGTGTTCTACTTTAGAAAAGTACAAGTAGCGCAATCTCTTACAAACTAGGGGAAGTACGTTCGTTATTATTTTTACCGGCGGACGTTACAACATCGTGCCCATACATTGAATGTCATGTTGCCCGCACGACGTGATAAGGGCATGCGTGCGAGCGCAATGAATTGCATTATGCAATCACGTTGTGCGTATCAGGCCGGGCGCACACCATGCTGTTATCATGTTGCACAATTTATACATTGAGAAAAAAGATATAGTAATTGTTACGTCCAAGCCCCAGGATTCTTTATTGCATAGGAAATTTTAAGGATTGAGGAGGGGGCATAGGAGGACGCAACTGACACCACTCTTGTGGCAGACGCCTCAAGACGCGTGCCACAAGTCGGAGACGCAATAAAAGGTCACAGACGTGGGTCAACGTCAGCGTGCGACGCTATTACCCAGTCCTGCGACTGTGTCTCCGTCGGTCCCCTTTTAGATCAAGGAACTTAATCCTTTTGATCAGGGATCGGACCGTGCGACTTAGTGGGATGAGGAATGAGTCGAGGGAAGTTCTAAATAAATTACAGGAATTTAAACGTAAAATAAGATTTTTATTTTTATTGCATAATGAACAATTTAAAATTGCACTATTAGTTAATTGATCAATACGAGCTTAACATCGAGAGATTTGTTTATATTCTAATTTTAATACACGCGGGCTGCAAAAATGCGTAATATACAATTTTCATATTTTAATTATATATAATCTATTTACGGCTACCAAGCAGTTAGAGTTTTAAAATCGTGGATAGGACTCAATATAAGAGTCGAAACATGTAATGTATGCATACAAAATTTTAATTATATTCAGAAGTTTTAACATATTTGATAATTTAAATTGTAAGGTGCGTTGATTTTCAGATTTGCACTTGTTATCATCCTCTACTGTTTTAACATCGAGAGAATTGTTTATATTCTAATCTTAACATTTCTATGAATTATTTTTAATATTTGTACGGGTTTTTAATCATAAGGTACGGCTTGTATGTGTATGATCTGGAAGGTTCTGATGAGGGGAAGGGAGATTGAGTATTGATGTATTCCTCTAATTCGAGGTATAACTCGTTATTAGAAATATCTGGTTCGAAAGGAACGGGGGAATATGAAATTGGGGTTAGAGGAGGAAAAGAGAGTGATGTAGAGTCTGGAAGGGGAAGAGTCTCGGTTTCGGTCAAGTCTATGACCGGTATACTGTTCGTTGTCGTCTGTGGTTGTATTTCGTTATTGTTTGTTGGTGTTCTGATATTCGCTGGTACTTGATTATTCTCGTTTGAGGAGGTTCTTGATTGAACCCTTGTTACGGTTGGAACTCTCTGTCGGCGCAAACGTTCGATCCTGCTCCGCTTTCCACATTCCGCTCGGTGTTTATTATTCCAGACCATCTACCATTATGACCATCTCTCATTAGGAAATTTTAAACAGGAAAAGAAGAATCCAAGGGGGGAGAGAGAGAGAGAGAGAGAGAGAGAGAGAGAGAGAGAGTTTCGCTCGCTTGCCTGGTGGCCAGAGGGCTACAGCGACGAACTCCCTGGTTTCTCGAGAGTGCTCGGGAAGGTTTCGGTAAGTATATAAAGAACTCGAGTTCGTACACCGTCGTGGAGCGAGTTGGCTCCCGGGTCGCGGTTCTCTCTCTCTCAACAGAGTTCTCAACGGACGTATCTCTCTCTTTCTATTTCAGCTCTGAAAGAGACGCAACATGAGGTTCTGGTGCCTGTTTCGAGGGAACGACGGTTGGTTTTTCGGGGCGGAGGTCCGCGACGAGGAATTCGATTCGCCGAGCTTGTCGGATAGGGATGGCGACGACGACGACGACGACGACGTTGTCGACGATGGCGACGACAACGACAACGACTCCGATACGTCGTCCTGGTCGTTGGCTTCCGACGACAGTTTGCGGAGGGCTAAGGAAAACTTGGCGTCAAGGTTGGAACAGTTGCTGACTGAAAGGAGGGCTATGTTGACCGTGAGGGAGGAGGGGGGGAGGGCGGCGGCGAACGTCGAGGCGGAGGTTGCGCAGGCGGAGGTGGCGGATGCGGCTGGGCTGGATGTTTCGGAGGTTTCCGGTATTTCGGAGGCCTCCGGTAGTTCTGAGGATCTCCCGATGCCAGCGAGGAAGAGACCGAAACTGGAGCCGCGGTTGTCGTCGGATTCTTCCTCCGATTCGTCGGTGCGGTACCTCTACACGGAGAACTACGATCCCGACTCGGACGACTCAACGATCAATTGGAAGGGCATATTCGCGAGTCAACCGACGACGTCTGACGACTTGGCCGAGGAGGAGGACGAAGAGTTTCGGGCCTTTCGTCGTGGGTCTTCCTCGGAGGAAGAGATACCGGAGTGTATGCTGGTCTCGGGGTCCAGTGAGGATTCAGACGGCGTCGTGTGACTTCCGTAGTGATGGACAAAGAAACAAGTAGTCGTTTATAAATGTAGTACGATAAAGTAGTGTGTATAAATGTATATGAGTATAGTGTGACAATGAAATAAAAATTTTTTTTTTTAAATCCCGCAGAACCTAAATTACACAGGTCAACATTTGATCTACGTGTGAACGCCGGAAGCGCATAGGTGCTGGTGGGGTTTTTGGGGTCGCTGATTACGATGAGAACGTTGGTTAACCTCTATCACGTCAGGTTCAAGTCATTTGAAGATCAAGTGGAGAAAAAACCATCTGAAAAATCTGAAAAAATTCATGAATATGTTTTCGAGGCCAGCAAATCGGAATCTGAAGTCAGTTAACCTTCATAAGGTTAGGTTCAAGGTCATTTGAAGGTCAAGTGGAGGAAAAGACATCAAACACATCTGGAAAAATTCATACGTATGTTTTCGAGGTGTCCTTGGTTTCCTTCACTTGAAGTTTTATCATATCAGGATGAAGGTTTTTGGTGGAAAAATTTTTAACTTTAAATACTTATATTATACAATTCTGTACATCTCAATGCATTACAATAACAAATTAATGTGTGGTTGCACCCAGGACACCTCCACGTGGTGACGGTGGGCAACGGAGTTGTGCCACTATCCGGCGAAGTGCCTGGGTTAAGGCGTTGATGCCGTCATGGCAACCACACAGAAAAATGTTTCGATGTAGGAGAGGGATACCCCAGTATCGGCGGCTGGTCAGGGTGGGAAAGCGGGCCCGCAGGCGTCGTCATCATGCGACCGTAGCTCTACATTGGTGGGAAACTTGGCCTCTGTAGAGTCAAATGCTACAAGTCAAAGTCCTTGCAGAAACAACCCGGACATCTTTTGTGTTGTTTGCGGGCAGTATACGACTAAAAATAAATTCGCATTCTCAGAAATATTGCAAAAAAAATATAATGAATGCTTTGCAATCAAAAGTGATTCATTTGGGAATTGGCTGACATGACGATAAAGGTACAGCCGAAAATTATAACCAAGTAGATTAGTTGAACAGAAGTAGCAATCAGAGGCGTGATTTGATGGCTTTCTCCATTTCATCGGAGAAGAAAATATCTGTCTCCTGTTTCCCATCAAAATATTGCGGCGTCTAGTAGCTTTTGGAGTAAAGCAATTCCCTAAAGCATTTCCCTATCACTTTCGATTGCAAAGCATTCATTATATTTTTTTTTGCAATGCTTTTGAGAATGCGAATTTTTTTTTCGTTGTATACTGCCCGCAAACTTTTTCACATTTGTTCGATTTTTTTTCCTCCACTTGACCTTCAAGTGACCTTGAACCTGACCTTATGAAGGTTAACTGACTTCAGATTCCGATTTGCTGGCCTCGAAAACATATGTATGAATGTTTTTAAGATTTTTCGAATCGTACTTGACTTTTTATCCCAAAAAGTCTTATAATAACCTTGAATGACCTCTACCGATAGATCCAAAGTGTAATTAAAAGTCGGATTCAGATTCAGAGAGCTCAAAAACATATTCATGAATTTTTTCAGATTTTTCAGATGGTTTTTTCTCCACTTGACCTTCAAATAACTTGAACCTGACGTGATGGAGGTTAACCGACGTTCTCATCGTAATCAGCGACCCCAAAAACTCCACCAGCACCTATGCGCTTCCGGCGTTCACGCGTAGATCAAATGTTGACCTGTGTTATTCAAAGTCCCGCAGAGCGAAATTGTTCCATGTCCCGAAGACGCGACAATTGAATCGTGTTAGGATACTCTACCACTTTCTCACCATCTAGGCACGCTCCCTGCACGTGGGTTAGGAAAATCTATTTTTTCCCTTCGATCTAGACACGCTCATTCTACGTGGGTTAGGAAAATCTATTTTTTCCCATCGATCTAGACACGCTCATTCTACGTGGGTTAGGAAAATTTATTTTTTTTCCCTTCGATCTAGATATTCTCCGTCTACGTGGGTTAGGAAATTTTATTGCATTCTTCGATCTAGACACGCTCTCTCTAGGCGGGCTAGGATAGTTTATTTCATTTCGTTCGATCTGGACACGCTCTTTGTCTACGTGGGTTAGGATAGTCTATTTATTTCCTTCCATCTGGTCACGCTCCGTTTATGTGGGTTAAGAACATCTATCATTTTCTCTCCATCTAGACACGCTCCGTCTACGTGGGTTAGGAAAATGTATTCTTTTCTCTCTATGTAGGCACGCTCTGTCTACATGGGTTAGGAAAATCTATCATTTTCCTTCATTTAGGCACGTTCCGTTGTGACCGGCCCTGACGGTCTTTTTTGAAAATATGTCACTTACTACTTGTAGCAAAATTGTTTTTGTCTTAATCGGTCGCCACCTCTTTTCACCATCAAGCGAGGAAGGTTGATAAATCCTTCTCCCCTCAGGAAATTCGTCCTTCGAAGATCCGGATCGGTCCTGCTATGTCTCCCTGTTAATCCAAGGACTTAGGTTTCCGTGTAAATAACGTAGACACAGATTAACAAAATTAATATGTTTAATAAAATCTGAATAATCTTTAACAGCATTACTTCACAATCACCACTCTTCACAATGGAATCTCTTAACTAATGCCACTATCGCGGTCTTACATAGATTACTTAATAGTTAATAGACGAATAATAAATTCGTCAACGCAATATTAATTACTATAAGGAAAAATTATCTCGAATCGATCACACGATTTATCACGGTGCGATAATTGTAACTCGCGTATGATTCTATCTATTTCCTTTGTTAACGCTATGTCGCGAAGCGATCCTTCCGTGTTGAGAGCGATGATCTCACTGTGGGTTTTCTCTTCCTTCCAAATCGCGTCCGTTAGCTTCCGCGTCTTAATCCTTCAAAAGATTTTCATCTTTGAAGTTGCTGTTATAAAAAATCATCGAATCAATATAATTGTAAAAACTACAATACCTGAATTTTCCCGAATTATTATATTTATTATTTTTATTTCTCTCTCGCGGGATTTTATTTTTATCATCTCTCGCATATCTCGTTGAATTTTCATCTTGAGATTTAACTACGAAAGTTTTATTCAATTGAGAATCTTTATTTTTAATCTCCATCAAAACTTACTTTACGCGATAATTTATTTTTATCCGTCAATTTTAACACGTCTCTGTACGTCGGAATTTCGCTTTTTCGCGAATCAGTATCGCTTGAAGTAGAAGATACAAAATCACTCTTTCGCGGCATGCGAAGAGCATTTATTCCTTCACTATTGGAATCTGACGAATCCTTTTGTTTAATCGCTTTTAACGGCGAAATTCTCGGTTTTCTCGTTTGCTGTTTATTGTTAATTACGTTATTATTTTTCGACACATTCTCGCGACTTCTATCGCGCTTATTATTATCGAATTTCGACGCTCGCGTACATCCTCTACCCTTTTATTGTTAACCACGGGGTATTCCTTCATTGTAACATGCTGAGGTAATTGTGCAGGAATTTCCGCTATTTTCACGCCATTTTTTACCGTCATGTTAGGATTTTCCTTATTCATGGTTTGTTTGTTGTAATTATTATAATCAGTATTTTTAATAACCGGTTTACGCGCATTCACATTATAATAATCGTTACGGTATTGAAATGCTGTCGATTTTGGTATATTTTTATTTTGCCAATTTTTATTGGTATTCGCTCGGTTGTCAGCCGATTGAGTATTTACTACCGATTTATTAACCTTATTCAAGTTAATTTTATTTTGGACTTTCGTCCTTCGCGAAGCGAATCTCTTATCATTCTCTAATATTTCGAGAAACCGAATAAAATCGTTGGTTGTCTTTAACGCTGCGATTCTAATTTCTTTATACACGTCATCATCGAAATGATTTTTCAAAACTCTAATTATATCCTCGTCACGCATTTGACTATCGAGCATTTTCGCATTGAATGCTTGCTCTTGAGCGTATTCTGATATTGTTAATTTACTATCCGGGCTATATTTTCCGAAATGCAATTCTTCACGGAATTTCTCCTGACTCTCGTGTCCCCAATACTTATGCAAAAATAATTCTCTTATTTTAACGTAATCGAATTCATCTTGCAGGTTTATCCACGAGTTCGCGGTTCCTACAAGCGCTCTTTCGAAATAATAATATTTATCTACGTCGCTAATTTTTTCAAACGACGCGATTTTCTCGAAACGTCTTATGAAACGTACCGGATTCTGTTTATCGGATTGACCGCTGTAAGTTACACCCTTGAAAGGATTCTTAGATATACAAATACGCGGTATCGCGACACTAGTCTGAGCTTGACTATTCGCGTTTGCGTCGGTAAGAATGGAAACGATCTCGCTATTACCCGACGTCACGTTATTTTCTTTCCCGTCGGATTTATTCGCTTTGTCGATCGAAACTTCTCCCGATTTTACGCTTCCGTTTACGCGATTCATGTTATTTTTCTCGAATTCGCGCATTCTTTCCGTCATTATTCTAATGAATTCGAATAATTGGTCCGACGTGACGTTACTAGATTTCGCGCCACTCGCTTCGTCTCGCTCTACACTTTCGCGTATCGGCGATAATCTTCTCGGTGGGGTACGCGATAATTGTTTACCCGAGATAATGTCTGACGATTCTACATTAATTTCGTACAGATCACTTAATCCGTATTGCGTTCCTTATCGGGTGGTTTTCGGCAACGCACCCTTACTTGTATCTTTATCTATTGCTTAAGGCGATTGAACTGTCAAAAATATTTCTAAGTATTTTGTGCGCTAAAATTTTTGCGCAGGGCTCCCGCTGTGAGCTACGCCCTTTTATGTTTTACAAAAGTGATAGCTAAAATTCTAAAAATTTCTTATCAAAATTTCTAAATTTTTAATCTTCAAAAAATTTTTTGCAGGACTCACGTACTGGCTAATGCCAATTTACGTTTTACAAAAGCTGTTAAATAAATTTCAAATTACTCAAAAGAAAATTTTTCTAAGTATTTTCCACACAAAGAAAATTTGAGCAGGACTCACGTACTGGTTAATACCAATTTAC